AAAAAAATTAAAAAAAAAAAAAAAAAAAAGAAAAAAAAAAAAAAACACGACATTTTGAATCAGTTAATAATTATTTTTAAATCAGTGACGATCGCAACATTAACATTTTTACACTGTATAAATGTTACACTGTATAAAACATCAAATAATTAACTTAATGGAATAAATAATAGAATAACGTCAAATCATCTACTCACCAGCATAAACGAGTTGAATCCCGATGAGCAGAAAAACTAGTTTAGACTGCATGTTTACTTTTTGATTTTAAAAAATCGTTCTACAGGAATTAGTTTGTCTTGTTTTAGACGCCTCAGTGACTTGTCTATACACTGGCGAAATCCCTGCGAGAGCTCATATATAGCTCTTGAAGCGGCAGCCAATAGATATTCTAGACAGATTCAACGTCATCAGTCTCTAAGCTGAATTTCATTTACTGGGTTGTTTTCGAAAGCGAAAACAAAATAAAGTGTATCACGGCCTTAACCACCCTTATATATCCCATTCCCAACCTATATTTTTCACATCGTACATACAGACGCTTGACATTACCCAACTGTAATTTAAAAAAAATATAAGCTTGTTTAGTTTTTCCAACTGGAGCTAATTTCATTTAGCAACTTGGACTATGCTGTTAATTATTACATCTGTAAGTCTCATGGAGTTAGTCTAAATAATGATAAAGCTGATTAAGTCAATCAGACATTCATCAAACACAAATTCAGTGTTGTTGCCTTACTAGCTAATCTCTTTGGTTGTTCCACGTATTGTACAAAAGTAAACCAAAAAAATGTAAAAAAAATAATAAAAATAAAAAAGGTGTTGATCACAAATTCAACAAGCATGTGTTTTTTTTCTAGTAGTGGTCCTCCAAACTACATTACCAGTATTATCATGGTGTTTCTTTAGCTGTTGTGTAAACAATAAACAATAAATCCACTTTTTAGGCTATATACCACTTTTTTGTTTTTATTTTATTTTATATAGCCTATTATACAATGATACCAGTCTTTCTGCAATACAGTTCAAATTGGTACACGTGTAGGCTACTGTTTGACTATCAGGAAATGGTCATTATTATTAACAAGTAACTGTTGAATAGAATAAAAATAACATTAATAATAAAAATATAAAATTGACTCAGGGCTCAACATGAAGGGTTTTTTTCTACTGGCCTGGGGTGCGTTTCCCAAAATCAATTAGGCCTGTGGTCGCAAGTTCTGTTGTTACCAATAGTTCAATGTAACCATAGCTAACGATGCTTTTGAGAAAAGCACCCCCTGGTCAGGCCAGTAGATCAGGGCCCGTATTCACAAAGTATTTTATCTTACCACTAAGAGTTCTCCTCAATAGCAGTAAAAATTTTTAGCTAAGATCACTGACTCCGCCCACAGTCTACCTGCAAGCTGATTGGTTCTCAGTGGCAGCACAAGGACTTGACGAGCAGCTCACGCTGTCCAACATAATGAGTATCCAATATAAAAATATTAGATATTAATAACAGATAACTGTACGTAATACATATATTTGTATATGTTATATATTTTAGATGCATAATTAATAGTAATATGACAATAATTATTTTACATCGTGAAATTCCAAATTTTATTTGCATTTTAATTTAAAAAATGCATTCCAATTGCATGTTGCAGTGTATACTGTATATATTTTGATTCAGTAAAATAATAACTAAATTCTCTTTTTTCTCTCTCTTTCTTAAAGTCATTCTGAGTGTGTCCAGTAAAACTCCTGTGGTCCGCTCTAGACTGGGAGAAGCGGTTCTGTTGGACTGTGGGTTCTGGGTTGATCCGTCTTCTCCGGTTCACGGCTCTGGATTCTCTGTCGAGTGGCGCTATCAGTTCCGGGGTGAAGGACAGCTGGTCCTCGCTTACGACGGCAAGAACGATCGGTTTGGAGAGACATCAGAGACCGGAGCTAATAACGACATCACAGGCCTC